CAATAATTTTGTGCATTGTGTAATTAAGTAGGTTAATCATCACCATTATTGTTGGAATAATTATGCAAATGAAATGCAAATTAATCTGTAAATTGTTATTGTCTCAGTGGTTTAAATTTCTGGGGGCAACACTGCAGTTGTGTTACATGTATTTTTCATGTCCTGTATCAAACACAATGTGGTGTCACAACTTGTAATATTGTCCTTCACAATAGAATTAATCAACCTGTGTATAAAAACCACCTGTCTATAGAGGAGGATTTCTTTATGTACCCTACGTGGTCCTATACGCAGGTTTCACAGCAGGTGGCAACGGAATACTTTTACAAGTGATACCTCAAAAAGCAGTACGTGTTCCCGGTTGTGGAGAAACTCATGGTTTCTATTGTACTTTGTACAACTCAATGACTTTCTAGATTCACCATAAGTGCGCTCCTTATTGATCAATATAATTATTCACTAGCTGAATAGTCTATGTGACATTTGTTCAGAATAAACTTAATTTGGTTTTGAGTCCAAAGGATATGAAAAAGATTTGTTGCTACTTAATGGAGATTCCAATGTACGTCACTCAAAATGGCTGTGCGTCATCTTCTAAACAACGAAGACAGACTAGATCAACGATCTATTTATCATATGCCATTATACACAATTCACCTTGTACATTTCAATAGTAGAAATTAAAAGATAAAAAGTATGAGTTATTTAACTTAGGAGAAAATGTGACGAATCATCTGTCATTTCGGTATCTAGGTGCACACATTTCCAAAATTAAATTTTACCTAATATCAATTTGTTATTATTTTGAAATTTCCTATTTCAGTGTATAACAGTAATTTTTTTATGACTGTCTATTTATAGACTAAAATTGTCATCCATCTTTCCAGCTTCTGTCGCTTTTTTACAAATTAAACGTCATCAGCTTTTCCATCATTTTGGCAGGGAAAAAATACTAATTGGACATCAAATGGATGTGGAATATAAACAGTTAACTCAGAAATCTGTTGAATAGATGCCAGCCTATTCTCTATGACTGAAAGTTAAAAAAAAATTAAGGGTTCCAGCTTGTTCTTACTTGTACGTCATGTAATTTTCAATCAGAATATAAAGTCATTATTCCCATGGAAACAAGCCAAGTCTTCATGTATTTGCTAAAACATTTTGCTTTTATAGCAAGTATTTTATAGTGCTTTTAAAATTATTCACACTGTAGCCACAGCATCTGTTCTTAGAATAAATAAGATAAAATTAGATTCGACAGTTAACTTTGTTTTTTCAGGTAACATGAGACATTTGTTAATATATTGTATTGTATGTGTAGTTTTAAGTTTACTTTAAAAAGCTTTAATACAGCAATTACCAAAACTGAAATGTCAGATTTCATTAAGTTCTATTCTATTCTATTCTATTCTATTCTATTCTATTCTATTCTATTCTATTCTATTCTATATTCTATTCTATTCTATATTCTATTCTATTCTATTCTATTCTATTCTATTCTATTCTATTCTATTCTATTCTATTCTATTCTATTCTTTTCTATTCTGCATTTATAAATTTACTTGACATGATAAATTTGATTGAAATAAAAAGTATCGCCTATTTAATTTTGTTTTATGTCCAAAATCTGATTGGTAAGTCAAGTAGAATGCCTTGTGGCCCTGGAACATGCATACATACATCATTCTTTACTTAGACACACAGACAAATACACTGATTTGTTTGTAAACAATATAGTTGATGAATTATTTATTATGTTTTTTTTTTAGTTTGTTCAAATATTTATTATTTTAGTGCATAAACGCTGCATGTTTACAAGTGGATAAAAAAA